GGGGAAAAAAATAAAATAAAATAACTAGAATGCACTGGATACTGCATTTTTACTAGTCAAAATGTAAGAGTTACTGTTAGGCCATGGATTCACAATCTGCAGTTCACAGTTCTCTGGGGTTCCCATATTTCATGTTACATAGATACATGTACCGGGAGTGGGGTAGGATACTCAGAGCATCTGATTATCAAGCAGAACTTAAGAGCCATTAACATGACTTAAAGCAGTGGGTCTCAACCTGTGGATCTCAACTCCTTTAGGGTCAAATGACCCTTTCACAAGGGTTGCCTAACGTCACAGAAAACAGATATTTGTTATGATTCATAACAGTAGCAAAATTACAGTTATGAAGTAGCAACAGAATTTTATAGTTGGGGGTGACCATAACATGAGGAACCACATTAAGGTCTGCAGCATCAGGAAGGTTGAGAACCACTGGCTGAAAGGGTCAAAGTGCTTACCACCGGGCCTGACAACCAGACCCACAAGGCAAAAGGAGGGAGGAGAAAACCAACTCTGCACACACAAAAAGGTATACACATGGCCCCCACCCCGGTTAAATGAATAAAATGTAAAAGAACAACAATAAAGGAGTCTGAAAAAAAAAGACAAAAGATCAAGAACCAAAATGTCTGCCTAACACTGGCGAACCCTGTATTTGGGTATGGTGGCTTATGTTTATGATCCCAGCACTCAAAGAAGAAGGCAAGAAGATCAGGAATTCAAGACACCCTTCCTTGCCTAAATTGCATATTTGAGGCCAGCATGGAATATATGAGACCCTGTCTCCAAAAAAGAGAAAGAAAGACACATAAACAGAGAGAAACAGACAGAGAACATGTGTGTGAACACACACAAGCAGACTACTGAATGCCACTAACCAACCACCCAATTAACCTGATTTCAGATCTCACCTATCTGTTCCTCTTTCAGCTGACTTGAGATATCTCCTTTGATCCGAGCTGCCAGCTCATCAGCAAAAGATGTAGGTCTTTTCTACAGGCAAAAAAAAAAAAAAAAAAAAGAGAGAATCACTATTTTCTAAGAAAGTAGTACAGTTTACTTCTTCACATTTAACAAAATTCTATCAAGAGTCATAAAGTAATAAAACTACAAACAAAACAGGGCTTTTTTTTCTCTTCTAAGGTTTTAAGGTTTATTTTACTTTTATTTATGTGTGTATGAAGACAGGTGCAAAGACAGGACTTTATCAATGAATTTAAACACATGAATCCTATAGAGCTCAGCTAAGCAACAAATTCACAAAATTATCTCTTTAAAAGAAGATACTCTTAACTTCTTTATTTTTTAAAATACTTGAAAAAGCTAAGAAAACCAGCATGAAGAATGGAGGGAGATGGAAGAGTCCCTGAACTCAAAATTCTGAAGCTGAATGTATAACCCCAACGAGCTGACTTAGCATTAGAAGAAAATGGCACTCGTAAGGCAACTGAAGACACAGGGACACTTACGGCTACTTATGCAACTACAAATCAAGGACAAGAGAGATGGTGCTCACTGCTCTTGCAGAGGACCTAAGGTTGGTTCCCATGTCAGGTGTCTCACAACCTGTAACTCCAGCTCCAAGAAATCTGATACCCTCTTCTGGTCTTCCCAGGAACCCAACACATATGTGTGTAAATACAGTCACACAGATACGCCAAAAACACACTTAAAAAAATAAGACAAATCTTTAAAAGAAAAAAAATTCAATTACAAAAATGGGAGCTACAGAGATAGCTCAATCAGTACAATGCTTTCTGCATAAGCGTGAGAACCAGAGTCCAGAGCCTTGGAACTCACAGAAAAAGCAAGAAGTGGCTATGTGTGCCTGTGCTCTCAGAGCTGGGGAAACAGAGACAAGAGGATCCTGGGGCTTGGTGGCCAGCTAGTTTATCCTGGTAAGCCCAGGCTCAGTGAGAGACCCTGAGTCTATACAAGGGGGAGAATGACTGAGGAAGTCTTCCACCATTTACTTCTGGCTACACACACAATTACAAATCTGACGTAAGATGAGATGACCACAAATACAAATGGCGCTATTCAGGAGCAATGCGTAAACACGACTTCTAAGACCTCATCGAGGGACAACCACACTTACAGACTTGGCATTTTCCTCGATGTCCTCAATATCATCCCCCTCCTTCTCAGAGTCAACAAAAAGGTCACCCTCATCATCTTCTTCTTCATCACTCATCTGTGTGGTATGCTGAGAATGCAAAACAGAATCATGAGATGCAAGTCATCAAACTGAAAAGGAGACATGGTCGATTTTTAATCTCTCCCCTTAAAAAGGATAACCACACTTCAAACACATAATCGACATGATTTATTTATTAGAAACTAGCTGGGCAGTGGTGGCCCGTATATTTAATCTCAGCAGGTAGAGGCAGGTGGAACTCTCTGAGTTCAAGACTAGCCTGGCCTACAGAGTGAGTTCTAGGACATCCAAGACTACACAGGAGAAAAACCTATCTATTTTGAAAAACAAAAAAAAATAAAGTTAAAAAAAGAAAAGAAAAGAAAAAAAAAAAGGATTTACTTTTTGTATGTTTGTTTGGTTGGTTTGGTTTTTCAAGACAGGGTTTCTCTGTAGCCTTTGCTGACCTGGAACTCGCTCTGTAGACCAGGCTGGCCTCAAACTCAGAGATTTGCCTGCCTTTACTTTTTTAACAAAATAAAGATTCAAAACTATCAAAGCAAAGTATTAGAATATTGAAAATATTCATTATTAGAGGAATGTAAATTAGTCTTAACAAGAGCAGGAAGGGATGATTAAAAGGAGCTATTAAAAAGGAGTAAAATTTGGAAAAGGTAATACCCAAAGGAGGTGGCAAGCCTAAATATACGACATACTAAGAGAAAACTAGCAGTGAGCATGAAAAACCCTCACTATAGCATTCAAAAGTCAGTTCAGGAGACTTGGAGTATAAACATGGTACAGAGCTTGCCAAACACACCTGAGAGCCTAGGTTCACCCCTAGTGCCAAGCGAAAAGAACAGTAAGTTTAGTATACATGGGATGCTGCAGCTAAAGCTTTAAAATGAATTCATTTCAACACATGAGCTTTACCTGGTTTTGATCATTGTCACTTCGACTAGCAAAATCTTCATCTGATTCCTGTGGGTGAAAATGTTTTGCTGTTAATACAGAAAAGGTCACGGTGGTCTCTGAGGTAAGTTGACTGTGTGGGACAGAGGAAAAGCTCTTATACTCAGTCACCTTAAGTAGCAAACAAGATGAATGACTGGCAATATTGCAAGAGTTGTCTAGCTGCCATAATGTTTGTGTTTCATTTAAATAGCTCTCACTTATATCACTTGTATTTCCCAATTCTAAGCTTCAGATTTAAAGAAAGATCATTTGATTAATGAGAGGTTGGTTTGGGTTGCTTGACATTTTGGACTACAACCTCTGTGTTCCCTCTAGTAGGATAATACTTCATTAAGCTCAAGAATTTAGTATCAGTGTTTGCCACACTGACAGCTAAAAACAAAGGGCTCAGCAGATGATTATCTATAGCAAAGTAACGGGCAAGTTGATTTCTATTGCTAGCTAAGATTTCTATGGGCAGGGCTGGAGTAAGAAATTCAGGAGGAGGGGGGAGAACAATCAAAAAATGAAAATCAGGTACAAAAATGGTCTCCTTTTAGAACCTCATACTCATCATTGTCTGAAGGTACAACTCAAGGCCCCAGACTCTAGATGAAGATTTTACTCTGTGGACCTTAAGACACTAGCAAGCGAACATGAAGTAGATGCTTTGATTAGCTTTAAAACACTAAAAGAGTATGCTCTTCTTGCAAGGGACTAGAGTTTGGTTCATAGCACCTACATCAGGCAGCTCACAACTGCCTGTAACGCCAGTTCCAGGGGATCTGACATCCTCTTCTGTCTCCACAGGCACCTGCACACACTGCACCCCCTTGTGTGTGCACATACACACAAATAACAGTAATAATAATGATGATGATACATCTCTCAAAGTTGTTCATGAACATGCATGCACACACTAATAAGAATAACAATAATAAAATCTTTAAAAGTTGTTTATTGCAGCTCTTTATTTTTTTTCCAGGATTATTCAAGAAGAACACATTTCAAGACTAAGTTTCTGGCAGAGACCGTACCACAGTGTCTAAGCTGTTCTCTCTCCTCAAAATATAGTGGGACGTGAAGGAATTTGGTAGAAAGGAGAGCAGGTACGTAATGGTAATGGATTAGAACAGTTTCCCTTACTTTTCTCTGTACAAATTACAAATAAGAATTTCAACCCTAAGAAAACACTTCAGGTTCTGTCCCTTAAGTTTATAAAAACAGTTCACTAATTCTAAAGCATGTTACATGCCTAGCCTGCTCCACACATCCTAAGCTTCCTGTCACCATGACGTGGTCATACCATGTCCTTACCTCCTCTTCTTTCTCTTCCTCACTGTCCACAATACTTCCCCGGTTGCTGCCTACAGAGCCTTCTGTCAGGAAGAATGTAAAAGTCAACAACAATTCACCAGAAAATATCTGTAGCTCCTTCTCAAAGACGCCAAGCACAACAGCATCAAAGAGGCTTTAATGGAGCAAGTGCCACGTAATGGAATGAAAGCATCTTTGTTACTAATACAATTTCAAAGCACCTCCCACGCATTAAAAAATTTTTATAACTTGGCCTTATTCTACATGGATGTCAAGGTTACAAAAAAAATGAAGAAACAGTATCAGACTAAAAGTTGACTAGCGATGACAGGTAAAGGCAATTGCAATTGCCACCAGTCCTGAAGATTGGAGTTTAGTCTCTGGAACTCACATGATGGAACAGAGACTGGCTCCCATAGGCTGTCCACCCACATACATACATACATACATACATAAACATAACAAATTTAAATGAAATTAAAATAAAGATGACTAGAGCAATTCAACAACTAAATGCTCCAAGTCTTAGACCAGAGAAGGTGACAGAGGTAGGAAAAGCCAGAAATGGGACAAGAGACAAAATCTGAATACAACCAAAGAGGCTCACAGTCAAACCTCCTGAAACTGACCACTTTACAGTGTGGTTATATCAAGAAAATGTCCTTGTTCTTAAAGAACATTAGGGTAATGGAGGGCCAGACAAATTATGATATACAGACAAAGAATGAAAGTACACAGTGAAACATTAGCTGGCAAACCTGAGTGAGGGTCTGTTGATCTCTCCACTGCTCTTGTAATGTTAATAGAAAGTTTTAATTATTTTAACACAAAGAGTTAAGCTATGTTAAACATGACAAAAATATCAGTGAGAAAGAGTACCTTCACTGGAGAGCTCTCCAAGCCCTACGTCTTCCTGTTCCATGAAGAGCTTTGACCCGATGAGATAAGGCAAAGGGCGGTCAATGTAGAGGTCCTTCAAGGAAGGAAAGGGCACAGCCATTAAACACATGGGTTGAAATCATTCTGCTGCACCTGACTATCTCAAACAAGTTAAGGCGATACACAAAAGTAGAAAACAAGAAACATGGCGAGGTTAAACATCACTGATTTTGGAAACATTAAATTCTAGGTAAAGATAACAACAAAGCTGACTCCCTCCCCATAAACCTCAGTGATAGAGACACTAGCAAGGCCTGGGAAAGGTTTACAACAGTAACCAAACGAGGGAAATATAACCTCCCAAGAAAACGTTCCCAAGGAGGCCAAGGGATGGAAACCCAACAGCCGTGTAAGGCCTACCCTCCCCTTAACTCAAAAGCAAGCACACAGAAAGCCCAGTACTGGTGGGCCTCCCTTTGTAAACATACAAATTTACATGCAAAAAATAGCTTCTGAACAGACGGCAATACTGCAAGTTCAAGGCCAGCCAAGACTACAACGCAGGACTCTATCTTTAAATTTGTTTTAATTCTTTGGCTGACCAATACTACTTAAATACTACCTTACACATAAAAACACATACTTATTTTGAAAATCATTGACAATAGCTCAAATTTTTGAGAGAAACGAAGAAATAACCCAAATGTTATCGGATGCTGAGACAATAGTAGACAAACCCAGATTGGATGGAGCAGAGGGGACAAGACAAGGCACTACGGGGACTGGGAGGGATTTCTACGCCTGCAGCAGAGCAAAGAGAAGGCTGGCTAGATGTCCATAAAGTAAAGTAGGAGACAATGCCACTACGCAAATTATCACAGTTAGCACAACAAATGAAACAGTCCAGAGGCTGAGGAGCAGAGCAGCTGTTTGGGAGAAAACAACAGCCTCAGAACCGGAAGAATATCGCCTCCTACTCCCAACTGACAACACTAAGCTTTCAGAAAGGGACAGTGACAAAGTGAACCTAGGTAACAGAGCAGAAGTCGTGAAGGACTCTGCACAGCACCCACCCACAGCATACAAGAGCAGTGAAGGACTCTGCACAGCACCCACCCACAGCATACAAGAGCAGTGAAGGACTCTGCCCAGTACCCACCCACAGCCTACAAGAGCAGTGAAGGACTCTGCCCAGCACCCACCCATAGCCTACAAGAGCAGTGAAGGACTCTGCCCAGCACCCACCCACAGCATACAAGTCAAACTTGAGAGCCAAGCCAGCATTCCCCCTGACAACTCCGTCCCACTCCCACGGCAGGGGGAAAGACTGGCTGTCCCCCTGAGACATTAGCCCTTGGCCACAGCCCCTCCTCTGCTGGGGTCAGGAAGAAGTCTTACACCATTAGACCCACTGCTAACTTCCAAGGGGAAGCCTGTACAGGAAGTTCCTAGTGGCTTTACCTAACACCCCAAGCAACCAAACAAGCCAAATGCCTTGCTGAAGTCTTCCTTAGCACGAGCCACAGAATATCTGCTCCTTAGGAGCTTCTCTATTCATCTAGCCCCAACCCAGAGCTCCTTTTCTACCCTAAAGTCTGGAACAAAAGGGAGAGAGGCTGTTCAAAGGGCACAAAACTTCAGTTGGCCCAAACGTGAGCTAAACAAGAATGACACCAATACCATCGAACATGCCGAACTGCACAGGGGTGAGGAGTGGGGATCCCATGAGGCCTGAACCCTACGCAAGTAATTACAGGCAACTGAGGAGAGCTGGGAGGGGGAGAGGTGCTCCTCCCCAGGGAAGAGCACACCAACTGACGGTCCAGTGCCAAATGGTCAGCCCTGGAAACATACATACGAGTTAACATTACATGGACTCAACAGGTTATCAACAGGTATTTATTAACAATGAAGACAGAGATCATGAATCGGAAGGCAAGTGGAGAGAGGTATAAAGATGAAAAGAAAAAGAGAAACAGTGTAATTAATTTATAATCTCAAAAAAAAACCCCAAAAAACGTCAGTTAAAGGAAATAAGATCAATCTATAACAACACAACATGTTGACTATAGTTAATAAAATGCATTGTATTTTTTTAATCCTTGAGAGATTTTTAAGTATTCTCACCATGAATTAAGTACATGAGACACACACAAGTAAGAATAAGTTTATTCTACAACAAATGGACATTTCAAAACATGTACAAGATATATGTGTGTGTGTGTGTGTGTGTGTGTGTATGTGTTTCTTTTATTGAAAATTAAAAATAAATAAAACTTCAGTTTTAAAATAAAAATGAGCCACAAGATGATTAGGTGGGTAAAGGCCTGCAGACCAGAACCCATGTGAAGTTAGGAGAAAACTGACTCCAGAATTGTCCTCTCTCTGTCATGTGCCATGAGACATGCACATCCCCATACAAACAATTCAATGACAAAGTTTAAGTATTAAAAAATTCAATTTGGCCAGGTAGTGGTGATGCACACCTTTAATCCCAGCACTCATGAGACAAGAGCAGGCAGATCTCTGTGAGTTTGAGGTCAGCCTGGTCTACAAAGCGAGTTCCAGGACAGCTAGGAGTGTTACATAGAGAAATCGTCCAGGGGGAAGAAAAATAAATAAAAATAAAAATAAAATAAATAAATAAAGCCTAACAACAATAAATAAAATAAATTTAAAAAAACGAACCAAATCCAATTAAAAAATCTCATCCTTCACCTTAACTTCTTGGCTACAAGGCGGTTTTGCCTCAGGGTTCTGAGGACAGTTGCTCATGTAGATGTCTCCTTCCCCACAGACAATACTAAACACCTCAGAAGAGGAGGAGCTATGTCCTGCCACTTTCCCCTACCTTGTACCACAGAAAGGCTCAGCGTGTCAAGTAAGGCTCTCAGAAAGAGTCAGTCGGGATGCCCTACGCCCGGCAAAGCAGTGAGGACATCATAAGACTGAGACTGAATGCCTTTACCTTTGGTTCGAGGATCAGCTCCACCCGCTCGTTGGCATCTTCTTCTTCAGAGTCCGAGTTCCCCGCCTTTATGTCAAGTTGCTCAAAGGCACTGTCCAGCACCTGTAAGCCATAGTTCACAGCCTCCCGGACCTTAGGGATCAGGTCGACTTCTTTCTGTTCCCGAGTCTTCTCCTGCAAACAAAACAGCCTTCAGTGTGTCTCCAATATGAAACTCTAAAGTCATGCCCTCCTCCAAAACTTTTTGTTCAAAATGTTAACAGAGTCACTTTTCTGATTCGGACTTCGGAGTAAATGTACAAGCTTTAATCTCAGTTTTGTCACTCTCTGGACAAACATCAGTCCACTTACACTTTAGAATTCCAATCTCCCCATCTGGAAAATCAGATGAACAATCAAATTAGAAACCAAAACTGAGTCTGTGAAGATATATTTGTAAAAAAAAAAAAAAAAATGTGCTTAATGCCTTTTATTTATCTTTAGGCTAGCAGAGATAAAACCTGGGGTCTGACATGTGTTAGGCAAACACTCTGCCAATGAATTGTTCCTTTAGTCCTGTGGCACTCAGAAAATACTTCACTACATACTACCCACTTTTAAATGTAATGCTGGCTTGATCTAGCCACATTATTGCATTTTGCTGAGTAGCAAATGCATGAGTACTATTAAAAATAAAATTCGCATTCCTACAAATGCCAGGAACAGGAAGAGCCACAGCTGTTTCTAATATTCTAATCTAACAGCTTTGCTTCTTAATAGTTCCTGGTAGACTATCAACCTTTGCAGGTGACTTCCACTTTTTCAGAGGAAGTCAGAGCTGACTGAAAATGACTTCCACAATAAACATACTCAAATCTGCCTGCTTTCCTGAATGAGAGGAGAGGAGTACGTGCCAGAGCACACAAAAGTAAGGCCGGAACTTTCTTAGGTGTGGACACCAATGTGGGATGAGCAAGGATTTGTATGCACAGGCCACATGGCAAGCCACAGAAGAAGAGGTAGGAACTGCTGACCCTTGATCCCTTGGCCCACTTTCCAAAGCACACAGCCCTCATCAACTTTCTTCCTTTCCTTCTCTTTTCTGACCTCCACTAGCTCCCACAAACCCAGTCCACGGGGAGGGGATGAAGCTCAGTTGTAGAAAGTTTGCCCAATGTGCATGAGGTCCCACGTGCAATCCCTGGTACTAAACACGGAACAAAGCAACAACCTTAGCACAGGCTTTCCCTTGTTGGCATGGCCTCCCCACTGCCTGTTAGCTGGCCCTTCTTTCTTCATCTGGATAAAGTCTCATCCTTGAAGCTTTCCCCAGCTAGTTTAACAGCAAGTGTCTCCTTGTGTGAACTTCCAAAACAGCAACCACGCAATGCAGTTCAGATCAACAACCACCTATGGCCTCAACAATGAAACTGCTTCAAAGTGAGTGTCCGAAGTCATGGCTTCCCTGCAGTCCTGTGACAGTCAACAACTGCTCACTGGGGAGCCCATTCTGTCCGAACACAGCTGGTGGTGCCCATGGGGTCCTCAACTGTGCGTGCACGAAAACTATATTCACCTTACTATCTAATTTTCACCTGCCAGAACAAAAGTAAAACGTTCACAAAGTTGGGGAAACTGGGTCTCCCAGGCCTCACTCTGTTTCCTCATTCATTTCCCAAGCACAGTACATGGCCTGTTTCTATATGAACTTTGAGGAAGAGTGGCTTCTAAATCTGTGAAGGGGAGGAAGAGGAGGAAAGAGAGGGAGAAAGGGAGAGAGAAGGGAGGAAGTAGGGGAAGAAGATAAAGCTTCCTCTGCGGCCTGCAATCCTGGGCTACTTACCCTGAGCCCTCTGCTCTGCTCTACTCTATGCCAGAATTCAGGAATTTCATTTCCACATGAACAGCCTAAGCTTCAGGAAAAAATGGACGAGTCCTATTGGGCTACTGCCAAAGGCAGCACCTCCCACAGCCCCGGTCCTGTCACCCTCTGTCTCAGTTCTCAAAGTGAGTCACTCAAAGCAAGGATGATTTACGACAAGTACCTGCTGGGTTTTCTCGGCCTCGGCCTTGAGGGCCTGCTCCTCCACTTCTTCATCGTACACCCGCTGAGTAAGGAAGCAAATTCATTAAATAGTTAAGCACTGAAATGGAATCACATGGAAAAGGTCAATACAAAGAAGAATTTTTTGAAAGAGGGAAATGGCTTTCAGAAAAACAACTGGGACCACTACCAATGGGTCGTGGACGAATAACAAAGTACAGCAGTCCATTCACCTAAAGTCAATTTTGAACCTAAAGAAACATGAGGAACTATCTGGCTGATCAAAGGGTTCTGAAACCACTATGATCCCAACGGGTGAATTTTTTCTAACGTAATGCATAACTCTAACAGGGTCACAATACAAGTACCTTCGTCCAAGACCACTGCCAATATCAACTGATATGCCTTACCAACTAGATAAATATTGTTAACAAGTGGAGTAAGGAATATGATAATGGTAAAATTTACTTTTATTCTGTTGCTCAAAATGGCTGAAAATTTTTTATACTTATCTCATATGAATCAAGAAAAAAAGGCAAAATCAACAACAATTTGCCAGAAGATGCATGGCCAAGGAAGAACCTCTTTTATAAGACGTATCCGTCATACTGGAAACTCATTGCAATTTTTTTTTAAACAACTAGAGTATAACATCTTTGCTACAAAAAAAATGAATGTAAGTGGGTATGATGGCTAATCTTGGTTGTCAATTTGACTATACTGGACATCAACTAAAACCCAAGCTGCTGGGCAATCCTGTGAGGAATTTTCTTGATCTTCTTCTTTGAAGCAGGAAGATCCACCCAGGATCTAGACCATACTTTCTGATGGCAGCCCAGATAAAAAGACAAGGAAGAAGGAAACTTTGCTTTTTGCTCATTTGTCCTCGCTCTTGCTGGCAAGTCCATCTATCCTGTTCCTTAGGCATTCTTTTGCTAGTGTTAGAAACAGCTTCTTCAGGGTTCTAGGAGACTGAAGATCAGCTGCTCTCTAGCAATCCTCCAGGCCTCCAGCACCAGATGGGGACTGCTGGGCCAAGCTCCTGGACTGAACAGCTACTGCATTCTCAAGCCTTTCAATGCTGACAGCCTTTGCTGGGACTATCTAGACCACAGCCTGAAATCCAACCTCATAAATCCTCTTTTAATAAATACGTTTGTCCTATCAGTTCTGTTCCTTTAGAGAACCCTGACTTACAGAGTAGGACAATGAAATTGTTCTGTAATAAGACAATAGGGTTACAAAAGTTTATGAGTATACTGAAGCACACTGAGCTGCACTTTTTAAAAGAAACTATCTAAATCATTTAAAAATTGTTTAGGTAATACAGGCTCAATAGTCCTTATCTGAAGTTTTTAAATTTGCAATTTTTAGAATATCTGCAGAGATTTTATGAACATCACTAATGAGAAAATCCAAAATTTAAAGCTGAGGCACACAAAGTTCCAGATTTCATTTCATTTCATTTTGGAGTAAGTATAATCAACCTGTGCCCATGAGAATCAGATGGGAAGACCCTACTGCTGAGGACACAACACACTTTGGTTGTGGTAGAGAAATCAGCTAGAAATAGGCAGGAAGTGTCCTCTCTGCTGTATAACTTTCACAGAGCTGGAAGATACCATGCAAGTGACCGCTTGGGAAAACAATAAGCAATGTCCTCCCCAGAAGGAGACACTGTGCACAACAATACCAACCTAAGTGGCTGCTCTGGTGACAACCAACTGCTTTCTAACTGGGTCTGAGGCCTATTCTACAAGAGGGAATTAAAGCCATGTTCTATAAACCAGGTCAAAAGCCCATGCTTGCGAGGTCAGAGGCCATAAAGTTTGGACCTACTATTACTACTGTTTTTGCTAAAATGACACAGTGTTAAAGTATCTTGTAAATGTTTATACACATAGGCTAGGGCTATTCTCAATCTTGGTCAGAATTGTCAAATTCACAGAGGGAAGTTAAAAACCCAAAATAAAATAATGATGACTATTTCTGAATATAAAGAAGTTATGAGTAGTTGACCATAGTGGGTCATGTTACAGCCCAACTTTCAGCAATCTAAAGCAGAAGATGGTGAATTCATGGCTAGTTTAGGCAACAAGATCCCATCTGAAAAAAGTTGTTAAAGCAACCTGCCCTACTAAGAATATGAGATTATGATATTTAAGAGTATGCAGTAAAGAACAAAGAAAACTACATGGAAGACTAAGTTTATGTTCACATAAACATACGCACAAGTCAGCGAGGAAAGAAGAGCTACACAATCACAGTTATCTTTATGTGCACTCACACATACCCATACATATATACTCGCAGGGAATAAGAAGTAAAAATGCAGAGATACAAACATCCTTGCCCAAAAAGATTACAGTTGAGAGGAAGTAAAGGAAAAGGGGAGAGAGGAGGCTGGTTCCTGTAAAAAAAATATTGAACAATATTAAAATCTGGTAATTAGTTCTAGCTGCTGTACATTGTTATCATGTGTGGTTTTTCTCTGTAGCAAGACACTCAGGAACACCAAGGCTACTCTATCAACAAATGAAATAGTTCATAAGAAGCTGATAGCAGAATGTTAGATTGGTATAGTCCTATAATGGGAGTAAGAATAGGTTCATAAGACAGGTGGCTTCTAATCCCAGCACTGGGAAACACAGGAGGATCAGGAGTTGAAACTCATCCCTGACAACATAAGGAGTTTGAGGCCAGCCTAGGCTACATGAGACCTTGTCTCAAAAGAAAAGAAGAATTAAATTCATAAAAGCCTCAAAGCTGTGTAAAAATGATTTTAACATTAAGAAATATGCAGGTTGCAAACACACACACACACACACACACACACACACACACACAAACACACACGAGGAAAAAGTCATCCAGACTAGAGAGAAATACAAAATAACGTTCACTAGCTAGTTAATGTCTGCGTGAGAGCAGATCTAGAACATTGTCCCCAGCTTCCCCGGGAGTCCTTGATCTTCAGATGACTTTTCTTGCTCTTACTTTTCTTCCTAACTGTCCTACACCAAACATTACCCAACATTTCCAATATGAGAACAGAAAAGTACATGAATCTTTAAGGGGAGATTTTAAAATAAGGAAGCTACTGTAGCTGTTTCAAATTTGTACGACAGGACCTCTAATCTGAAAAGGCTGAGTTTCTGACTAAAGTCTAAGACCGTCAATACCCAGCTTCCCCACGCCATCACTAGAATCTACCCTCAAGATGTCAGCATCCTGGGGCTTGTAAGACCAACGTAACATCTAAAACACCAAGTGGTTTGGGAAGACCTAAAGTCTGTGAGATGGTTGAGGGCGGAAGTGCTCAGGAACATCAGATCATCACTCTAACTTCCTTTCCCAGGCTGACCTCACAGCTTTACTTCATGAGCATTCAGATAGTTCTATACTAGAACTGTTACATACCTTTGGTATTTGTCCTCACAGAAACTTTTCCTCCTCGGGAGAAGTGAGGTACATGGCATAGGGAACAAGTGAAAAGGACAGGACAGATTTTCTGTTGTTGTTGTTGTTGTTGTTGTTTTAACAATTACACACAGACCTGGTTCTTTTCCTTTATATGTTCTCTCATTCAATTATTTAAACATTCAAGGTCTCTGTGTATCCAGATTGTGCTAAGATCTAGGAATATGTTTAGCTAGATCCTGAGGCTTGTTTAGTAACTTTAAAAGTAGGGTTGCTAAGAAATAATGTGTACTTACATGAAAATGCCATATAACACAGTACCACATACAATGCAAATATACAATGAGAAAAAAATTTTAATTAAGACTGTTAGACTGCTAATAAATGACATGGGGACTGGGCATGGTGGCTTATGCTTTTAAGGAGGCAGAAACAAGCAGATCTCCATGAATTTAAGGCCAGCTAGGTCTACCTACATATACATCAAGTTCCAGCCAACCAGGCTAAATGGTGAGACCTTGTCTCAATAATAGTAGTAGTAGTAGTAGTAGTAGTAGTAGTAGTAGTAGTAGTAAAAAGACATGGGATGCTTCATGAGCTCTTAACAAGAGGTACTGCCTTGTAGAGGCTCAGGGTGAATCTGGTAAACAGACAGATGAAATCAAAGGACATACAGAGCAATCTAAACAATAGCCCGTAGCAAGGCACTCAGGAGCGCCAAGGCTACTCTGTCAAAAGCAAAGGCCAACATATGTAAAAATAAAGCAGGTTGGTGGAGGGGACATTATGCGCAGGGTATTATAGCAGGTATGATTTTGAACTTTAGCCCCAAATTGTTGATTTTTTGACAGTTTAGCAATGACATCTGTTTCTTTAAAAAATAAGGGGGGGGGTTGAAAAGCAAGAAAATGAACATAGTTTTGATAATTAACAGAACAATCCTGAAAAAATTCAATTGTTTCTTCTTGAATTTTTTTTCCAGAAAGGTAAAAATTCTTTAACAATTGGCTTTAAAAAACTCCTTAGGGTCGTTTAACAAACTAAAGTCATTAACTAGGACTGCTAAATCTAAGGTCAGCATGAAAACTCTGTCTTTAAAAAATGGGGGCGGGGGAAGGGCTGCCTTAAGAACTGGGTCTCTTTCTGCTCAGCCACTAAAAGACAGGCCAGCACTAATGAGCTGTTCTCTCTCAGGACTCCCTCCTGAGCCCTTACTAACAGTTCCACATGGCTTCTGCTTTCCTCCAAAGTCCTGACTGTTCTAGTGCCCTAGAAAGCTCGGTTTGCTTCACTAACTCTAAAACGGAGTTTGCAATCATGGGGCTGCCTCTGAGACTAACAAAACCCAACTGACTTCAAATAATCTCTCAAAAGAATTTCCACAAACCTAAATAACAGCAGCATCCTAGCGTGAACAGTAGAACAATGTCAGGGTTTGAAGACAATACATAGGACAGCAGCAAATGCCACAGGTAATTCTGTCATGTTGGTTTTCTTCTTTGCAGTTTCCTGAAGCACTAGCTATTCCCTGAACATCATTAGCTGCTCCCACAAACGGGAAGAAGCTGTACCGTGTGGCATTACAGAAGGTCTTGGAAGCAGTTACATTTGGTATGGCACCAACGCACTCAGGAAGAAAGTTGATGACAGCCTGGGAGGGGAGAGGAGTAAGAACTTATCATCAAGGAAAGATGGATGGAAATATAGAATCCACAGAAGCAGACATGGAGAACAAAGTTTTCACAAAGCCTCAGCTGTAGAAAAGTCTAAGGAAACTTTGCCAGAAGAAGCTGGAAGAGGTGGAGAGGATCTAATTCAAGTCTGTGATCAGAAAAGGAAGTTTACGATGCTGCCTCTTCCACCTGAAAAAGTGAGATCTGGCACCATTCTGGTACAGGCACATTGAGTACAAAAGAAAACTTTCAGCTCCTTGCCTGATCTACCGCTGCAGCATTAAGTGCAAGAAGAGCTGAGAATCTGATGTAGCAAGAAAGGCTCACAAAGAGAGCGGCACAAGAACATCCAATCCCAGTGGGGGAGGGGGGACAATGACTGCTGTCATCCCCTAAGTGACCCTTCCAGAGAGATAAATGCTCAGGTTGACCATGCAGGTTGTGTGCACATCAGAAATGTCTTCAGGTTGAGCATGCCTATCCAAAACCCTAAAATACAAAACTTTCTGAGCACTGACATGACATTCAAAAGTTTTCGACAGGGGGTTGTTTCAGTTTAGGGATGCTGAACCTGTAAGGTCTGCACAGAGACTATATCTTAGAAATCTGACATCTGAACAACTTCTAGTACCAAGAATCCCAGACAGATAAGGTATATTCAGTCTGTACTGGGTTTACTTGAATACATCTAATGTTTCAAAACCAATGTTTCCCTTTGCTAGTTAAGAAAATAACTGGTGGGGTACTCAACTCAATGAGCCAGATAGTCTGGCACATGCAGTGGTAAACAAAGAGCCCTCACCAAATCCCATGCCTCAAACACGATGGAACGTGAGCTAAGTTACTTCAGTTAGGGCTACTAACTTATGCAAATGAGCTACAGCAACAGCCCACATGGAACTCTGGTGTTTTCACAATCCTAAATCATGGGCTTTATGGTCTTAATCATTTTGGCAATTTCGTGTAGTTCTTTACATCTAACAATTTCAGGATACAGCTTACTTTATTAATTCTCTTCTCATTGCTGGGTGTAGGACTGTATGCCTGTAATCCCAGTACTTGAGATGCAGAGGTGAGAATTTCCAGGTGAGTTCAAAGGAAGCTTGGTTTAGATAGCAAGTTCCAGATCAGTCAGAACAAATGATGAGCAAAAAACAAAAACAAAAAAACGATCCTCCCCCCAGAAAATGCCTTTTCACAAATTAATTCAGAAAGACATTCTTTGAGCGTGTGAACTAAGCTTCCTCTCCATTCTCATAACAGCCTTCCCTTGGCTCGACTGGCTTTCGGGCATACGTGTTTCTTTTCTATCACAGCTTTACCAAGATACTTACTTCACCTGTGTATTCCTAGCAGCTCACAGAAACTCACTATGGAAACAAAACTCACGTGTGCTTTAAAGTTCAGCACCATGTTTACGGCCGATTCTGTCACAGACTCAGCCACGTTATGAAAACTGTAGTTGAACAAAACGCCAAGTAAACACCTGCTTATAGAAACTGATCAAAACATAAAGGACCCAATCAATAACTTAAGGCAAAGTGGTGCTCAGATGGTCAGGTCAGGTCTACGGCTGAGCTTACCAAATGTGCACAGCAGCCTTGGGAGAGGCACACAATTCAGCTCGACTGTCCACTGCCCTCAAAACTAGAAACAGAAAAACCAGACTGAGGCAAACCTTACCATTAGATTTGTTTTTTTTTGTTTGTTTGTTTGTTTGCTTTTAAGGAAAGCCAAAAACTTTACTAATAAAGACACTGATTCTAGAAAAAGGAGCTTCAGTGACCAAGAATGAATCTATCCACCAAAACTTAGAAAAAAAAAAAACGAATTATCATTTCAAATTACCTTAGCTCTTACTCCCCAAAAGGGATTATTTGCTAAATCAGATGTAATAAAAACAACTCACATTCTCAATGAACTGGGTATTAGACAGCATGAGGAAGTCATTGAAGACATTATGCAGACGACAATGTGTCGCTTTGGTCTCCTGAATTAATCCATCCACCTGTTTCTTGATTTCATGGGTCCTGGAGATAGTCTGCTGTGAGAATTCCTGTAGAAACTGTAGCAGCTATTTTGAAAAGGAACATACAGAAGTGTCAACATTACATGTGGGGCAAAACAAACAAACAAACAAAAAACCCTTTCCCTTCACCCAGGTGTTATGTAAAAGGGATGACACTTTTGATCTAAAGTCAAGTGACACTAAAAAGCATTAAGAAAGTTCTGCAGACAAGTGCATCCATCCCACAAACACTTTTAGCACATTTCTAGAGGGATTTATAGGCCTGTCTGGTTGTCACTCTCCAGAGAGCACATTGTGTAACATAACAAAACACCCCAAATCCTACTTTTACGGAATTGTGAAACTGAAAGCTCTGAGCTCTCAGGTTCCCGAAGTGAGGAGTCCTACTCGAGAATTTGTGTTGCACCATTCAGCCCAAGTTCCAATACAGAAGCGGCTCCGTAGAGTCAGCAATCCTTGAACAGGGCAGCAAGGGTTCTGGACAGCAGGGTGGTGTGGAGGGCAAGGCTGGAAAGGGTCAGCACCGAAGGAAAGCCGCGTCTGCGCGGCAGAGTGCTGGGTAGAAGCCCACAGGGCCGCCCCTCCCGGGCGTCTGGGACTGCGCCTGTGAATTAGGGAAGGCGTCCCCTAGGCTGCAGGGTAACCGCAGCTCTGGCCCTCCCTGGGCCCGGGGCCCTGCGCTCACGCCGGCGTCGGCCGCCAGCGACCAGTTCTGGCTGCTGCGGCGGATCTCCTCCACAGACCAGGGCCGCTCCCACACGGGCTCGGATGCCGGAGGCCGCTCCGACTCGGGGCTCGTCCGGCTCATCTGCAGCGGGAAGGACGAGAAGCAGCGCTGAGTCTGGGACGGAGGAAGCTCCAGCCCTGCCTCCCCGGGGCCGCCGTCCTCACCACAATGGCACCGCCACTCGGCAAGCTCCAAAGTCACTACCGGAGACCCCACTAGCCCGTCCACCCAGCGCTGTGGGGTCACGTGGTCCGCATCACGTGGTGACGCCCGCACGTGACCAGATACGCAGCCTCCGAGAGAGAGCTGTTCGTGTACAGCTTCACAGTAACTGGGATGTGTGTTTGTCCATAGAGAAGATGCTTAGGCGGCCAACTCCAGGGGTGCGAAAAGAGATGGGTGGTACCAGTGGGTAAGCCTGTGGCTTACCAGGTGGGAGGCCGAAGGGCAAGAAGGCGGGCAGAGGACGACTTCCCTGCTGCTTAAGCGGCTTTGCTGAACACGCAAATGGTGTGTGACTGATCCATAGACTCGGTGAACTTCAGATGTCGGCGTACACCTGCTAACCTGCTTGGTTTCGATTCCTAGTGTGCATCCGCTTAAAATTCTTGACCCTCAGGTCAGATTCAAGACCACTTTCCACACTGTCGCAGGCAGGAAAAACGGGAAGATAGAAATCCGAAACTCTGGCTACCCACTAGCACTTCTGGTGGATACAGACTCCCCTCTCTGTTCTTGCCCAGACAGACTTTCAGAAATAACCCCGTATCTTTCCTTCTTCTGTGCCCATGGACGAGTTACTTAGCTTCTCTGAGCTTTCTTCCACATATAAAAGATGTATGTATATCTTGCCAGAAGTGATAATATATGTAAAACAGATAGTACCTGGTATATGGTGAGTGGTTACTCTAGATCTTATCAGTCCCCCTGTACAGCTTATTTTTCCTTTTGGATTTTGCTTTGTGATCACCTCCGTTGGCACCTCATTAAAGATTTCTCTTTGGTATAAAACTAAGGCAAATGATAACGTGCTCAGATAAAAACTCGTGCAAGAATGTCCACTATAGTGCTAATCCATAATACTCATCAAAGCAGAAGCATCTTAAATGTCCATCAGGTGATGGACAGATGTACAAAATGTTGTGGAACCACACAATGGTCTATTATTCACCAAAAAGGAATAAAGTGCTGATATATGATAGGACATGAGTTGACCTAGAAAATGCATTAATTGAAGAAGTCAGCCATATATGACCACAGATTATATGATTCTATTTATATGAAATGTCCAGAATGGACCCAGAGAGAAGAAGTAGGTTGGCGGTTACTAGGGCTTGAGGGGAGACAGGAATTGAGAGTTAACTGCGAATGGGTATGGGGTTCCTTTTTGAGGTAATGAAAATGTTAGACTGTGGTGATGGTGTTCAGCTCTCAAAATACTAAAGATTCTTGAAATGTGTATTTTGAAGGGAGTGATTTTGTTATGTAAATTATATCCCAATAAAGCTGCTCTGAAGTAGGAAGTGAGGGTTAGGATTACTGTTAAAGTTAGGGTTAAAGGTGTCTCCCTAGCATAGTCTGCAATGAGCTACTAAAGATAGAGTGAAGCTAGGATTATGTTAGCATTAGTGTGATGATTACAGTGTTATTGTTAGGGACAGCATTAAGATGATGCTTGGGGTTAGGGCTAGTATTAGAATGCTGCTTGGGTTAGGTTGAGATTAGGGTTAGGGTCAGGTTACTGCAGTATTCTTCATATTAGTTTTAGGGTAAGAGATTAAGCAAGTAAGTATTGCAGATAGGCATTATAGTTAGGGATACAATAGCTATTATGGTTAGATTGGAGCTAGTGTTAAGGTTACAATTAGGGTTAAGCTGGTGTTAGGGTTATGACTAGCATTAGTGATACCATTAGTGATTGTCTTAGTTGGGGTTTCTATTACTGTGAATAAACACCATGACTACTCTTATATAAGAAAACATTTAACTGGTGCTGATTTACAATTTCAGAGGTTTAGTCCATGGTGGGAAGCATGGTGGCACACAGGCAGATATGGTGCTGTAGAAGGAGCTAAGAGTTCTACATCTGGATCCACAGGCAGCAGGAAGTGACAATGACACACTGGCCTGGCTTGAGTTCCTGAGACCACCTAGTAACACATCTCCTCCAACAAAGCCACGCCTATTCCAACAAGGCCACACCTCCTAATAGTGCCCCTCCCTATGGCCAAACATTCAAACACATGAGTCTATGAGGGCTGTTCCCATTCAAACCATCACAGTGATATTGTTGGGTTTAGGGTTAAGGTTTTTTTTAGTTACTTTTCTGTCGTTAAGATAAAAATTGTCTCAAAGGCAACTCATAAAAGGAAGGGTTATGGTTAGGATTTAGTGTTATGGTCAATGCTAAGATAGTTTTGAATTAGAGTTAAGGTTAGGATATTATTAGTATTAGGGTGAGTGCTACGGATGATGGTTTAATTGGAATTAGACTTAGGGTAGGCTTAAGATTCATTATAGGAGCCAGGTGTGGTAGCACATGCCTTTAGTCCGAGCACTCGGGAGACAGAGGCAGGCAGGCCTCTGAGTTCGAGGCCAGCCTGGTCTATAGAGCAAGTTCTAGGACAGCAAGGACTACAAAGAGAAACCCTGTCTCAAAAAAAAAAAATTAGAATACAGTTGGATATGGTCATACCCCTTTAGTCCTAATACTTGAGAAGCAGAGGTAGGCAGATACACTCTGAGTTTGAGGTCTAACTTCTCTATATATCGAGTTCCAGTCCAGTCAGGGCTACATAATGATAGCTGTCTCAAAAAAGAAGTTATAGTTAGGGATAGGATTATGGTTAGGCTCAGGGTTAAGGCTCAGCATTAGATTAAGAGTTAGGGGTTAGGGTTAGAGTCTAGGATTAGTTATGGTTAGATATAGTGGTAACTTTTAAACATAACCCTAAACCCTACATATAATATTAAGCCTAACCAGAACCCTAATACTAACCCTAACTCCATTCCTAGCCATCACTCTAATTCTAACCCTACCCCAATCCTAACCATATTGCTAAAACTAATCTTAACTTTAACTACTATCCTAAACCATAGTCATAAATATAACTTTTAATCAGATCACCATACATAAAATTAACCATAATCATATTGTTAATCTTAACCCTAACCCTGAACCTAAGGATACACCAAATGGAAACATTAATCCTAAACCAAATGCTAAATCATACCTTAAACCTAACTTACTGCCTTAGTTAGGGGGCTATCGCTATGATGAAACACCATGACCAAAACAACTTGGGGAGGAAAAAGTTTATTTCACTCACACTTCCATATAACAGTTCATCAAAAGCAGTGAAAACAGTAACCCAAGCAGGGCAGGAACTTGAAGGCAGGAGCTGATGCAGAGGCCTTGAAGGAGTGCTGCTTACTGACTGGCTTGCTCAGCTTGTTTTCCTATAGAACCCAGAGGTACCACCCCAGGGGTGGCCTCATCCACAATGGACTGGGCCCTCCCCACAAGGATTACTAATTTTTAAAATAAATCCTATAGGATTGCCTATAGCCCAATCTTATGGAGTTATTTTCTCAAGTTGAAGCTTCTTCTTCTCTGATGACTCTAGCTCATGTCCAGTTGACATAAAACTAGCCAGCACATTTACCCTAATCATAATTATTACTCCGACATGATCCCCAAATCTAACCCTAACATTAATGTGAGACATAATCCTAAACTGAGTCCTAATCAAAACCATGAGCCTAACCCTAAACTTATGTGTAACAGCAGATCCACCCTCACATTATTCATAACCCTAACAAACCACTTCCTCTATTGTAATTGTAACACTAGCTGTGGCATAGATCCAACCCAATTAAAACCATGATCATGACCTTAACACTAATCCTAACAATAATGATAAATCTAACCCTTATGGTAATCCAGACCCCAACACAAACCCTATCTCTAACTCTAAACCTAATCCTACATCTTAAAGTAATTAGAACCTGAAAATTCAGGGTAACCATAATTGTAACCCAAATCCTACTGTACAAATTCTAATCTTGCACCCTAACCCTTAACCTAACCTCTAACCCTCTAACATTAAATGAACCCTAACTTCTCACCTTATTCCCTAACTTGTATTTACTAATCCTCTCATAGGCAGGCCTCTACGTGCAATTTTAAAAACACATGAATTTCCTAGCTTGTAATAGGTAGGTATATATGTACAGGTTCACATGTACCTGTATTTAATAGCTCTATCATAGGTACGAATGTGTTCACTGGTTCACACACACACACACACACACACACACACACACACACACACATACACACTTTCTAATTCTGTCATAGGTCAACCTGTATGCATACATTCATATGCAAGCAGTTTTAAAGTATGGTCATATGTTGGCCTGTGTGTGCATGTTCACAGGCAATGATTATCTGTGCATGGTCACATGTCAGTGTGTACAGATATGTTCCTATATATGCACTTTCCAAGCCCTGTCATATGTTGGCATATATTAGCATGTTCCCATGCTAATACATGATATTCCTGATCACTCACATATGGTAGCATGTTCATACATGTTCACACTCAGGCAGTTTCTGAGCACTCTCATATGGTTTACATAATGGGTTTCAGGCATGCCAGGCTAATAGTGAGATTCTGTCTCAAAGAAAAAGAAAAGAAAGAAAGAAAAGTTTGGGCCTGAAAACGTAGCTAAGTTCATAGAAGGTTGCCTTACATATACGAGATCCTAGGTTTGATTCTCAGCACTTCATAAACCAGGTGTAGTGGCACATACTTGCAATCCCAGCACTAAGAGGTAGACAGGAGGACCTTGAATGCAAGGTCATCCTTGGCTACATGTTGAGTTTGAGGCCAGCCTGAGCTACATGAGATTGTTTCATTTGTTTTCAAATTTTAGGCATGAAAGACACTATCAAGAGAATAAAAAGGCAATCACAGTTTGGAATAAAACATTTGTACATCAAATATCTGATAAGCATGGTTCTTAGAGGTTAGGGCAGGGGGAATCTCAAATTTGAGACCAGTTTGGGATATATACCAAGTAGCAGTCCAGCCAAGAGCTACATAGCAAGACCCTCTCAAAAACAAAAAACACCAAGAAAAAGCCCAACAACGAACATAACAGAGAGATACGGCTAAGAGCATGAAGTATCTACAATATGACATAATCAATAAGCAGACATGGTGCTGACTCTGTACA